TTATATACATACACATGCACATGTGTGTTTACTGCAGCACTATTCACAATAGCAAAGGCATGGAATCAACCCAAAGGTCCATCAAGGATAGACAGAATAAAGAAAATGTGGTACATATAAACCGTGCAACCATAATATTATGCAGCCATAGAAAGGAACGAGATCATGTCCTTTGCAAGGACATGGATAGAGCTGAAAGCTGTTATCTTCAGCAAACTAATCCAGGAACAGAAAACCAAACACTGTGTATTTCCACTTATAAGTGGGAGGTGAATAGTGAGAACACATGGACACATTAGGGGAAACAACACATACTCAGGCCTGTTGGGGGCAGGGGGAGGGAGAGCATTAAGACAAATAGCTAAAAGATGCTGGGCTTAATACCTAGGTGATGGGATGGTCTGTGCTGCAAACCACAAGTTTACCTACATCACAAACCCGCACATCCTGCACATATACCCCAGAACTTGGAAAAAAAAAAAAATATATATATATATCAAAGACTTGGTAATGTAAAAATATAAGGACAGCCAAAAAAAAGTCTAGTGCCTCCCTCCCCTCTCTCACCATGTGACACACCAGTTCCTCTTGCCTTCCTCCATGATTGTAAGCTTCTTGAGGCCTCACCAGAAGCAGCTGCTGGCACCATGCTTCTTGTATTGCCTGTAGAACCATAAGCCAAATATTTTTTCTTTAAAAACTAAGAAAAAAAATTATAAAGTGCAGAAAGAAAAAACTATCAACCATGAATTATCTGGCAAAAGTGTCCTTCAAAAGTGAGGGGGAAATTATGACATTCCAAGATAAAAGCTAGGGAGTTTGTTAAGTCCAAGCCACATGAACATATACTCTCCAATAAAGATAAATAGTTGGGCACATATTAAAACCAGGTTTTTTTTTCATAGCTCCACTTTTTATTTTCTGTAAGGTTTAAAAGAAATGCATAAAAAGTAATTATAAATCTGTTAGTGGATATACAGCATATAGATATAATTTTCACACCAATAATGTAAAGTAGGGATGGGAAACAGAGATGTATGCATGTAGAGTTTTGTATGAAATTGATGTCAATTCTAATTAGATTGTTATAACTTTGAGATATGATATTCAATCCCCATGGTAACAACAAAGAAAAGATATATAGACAATAGTCAAAGGAAAATGAGAAAGGAAAAAAATTTATCACTACAAAAAAGCAAATAATCACAAAAGACAACATAAGTGGAGGGAATGATGGGGGAAAGCTTTAATGTGCATAAAAACAAATAATAAAATGGCAAAAGTAAGTTCTTCCCTATCAGTAATTACTTTAAAGAAATTAAACCCCCAAAGGCATATATTGGCCTGGTAGATGTTAAAAAGAAAAAAGGCATAATTCAACTCTGTTCTGTCTACAAAAGACTTGCTTGAAATCTAAAGAAAAAAATAGGTTGAAAGTGAAGGAATGGAAAAAGATATTCCATGTAAATAAAAACCAAAAGCTGAGGTAGCTATACTAAATCAAACAACATAGACTACATAATGATAAAAAGGTCAATATACCAAGAACATGTAACAGTTATAAACATGCATGCACCAAACATCAGAGCCCCAAAGCACATTAATGAAACACTGACAGAATTGAAGAGAGAAATAATTAGTTCTATAATAGAAACTGCAGAAACCCACTTTCAACAACAGATAGGACAACTAAACAAAAGATCAGTAAAGAAACAGAGTAATGGAACAATACTGTAAACCAATTGGAGTAACAGACATACAGAACACTTGTTTTTCTCAAATGCGCATGAAAAAATATCAAAAAAGACTATGTTATGCCAAAAAATGCTTAATACATTTTATAAGAATGAATTTATACAGAATATCTTTTCCAACCACAGTGAAGGAAACTAGAAGTCAACAGCAAAAGGAAAATTGGAAAATTCACAAATATGTGGAAATCAAGACACAAATAGTAGCATATCAGCCAGTAAACAAATAACAAGGAAAATTAGAAAATACCTTATGATAAGTGCAAACAAAACCACAACATACCAAAATGTATGGAGCACAGAGGAAAAAAAGTGCTAAAAGATAACATTAAAAAAGAAAGACTTCTAATCAACAATTTTACACATTAAAAATTTACAGACAACAAGCAATCGAAACCTAAGGCTAGCAGAAGGAAGAGGATAATAAAGATTAGCGAATAGTAAAAAAAAAAAACTCAGCGAAACCAAATTAAATTCTTCAAAAAGATTGACCAAAACAGACAAACTTCTAGCTATATTGGCAAAGAAAAAAAGAGAGAAGATTCAAAATCCTAAAATCTGTAATGAAAATGGAGACATTACTACCAGTCTTACAGAAATAAAAAGGATTGGCCGGGCAGGGTGGCTGATACCTGTAATCTCAACACTTTGGGAGTCTGAAGCAAGCGGATCACTTGAAGTCAGGAGTTGAGACCAGCCTGGTCAACCATGGCAAAACCCTGTTTCTACTAAGAACACCAAAATTAGTCAGCTGTAGCAGTGGGTGCCTGTAGTCCCAGCTACTTGGGTGGCCGAGAGTCAGGAATTGCTTGAATCCGGGAGGTGGAGGTTGCAATGAGCAGAGATCACACCACTGCCCTCCAAGACTCTGTCTCAAAACAAACAAAAAACAAAACAAGAAAAAAGAAACCCAAGTGTTAATCAAAAGTAGAATGGAAAATTAAATCATAGTATGTTCATGAAATAAAGTGCTATATATCAATGAAAATGAACAAACTTCAGTTACATACATAATACATAGTAAGAAAACACCAGATTCAAAACAAACATGAAATATGATTCATTTATGTAAATTTCAAGAACAGGCATAAACTAAACTATTTTAAAAGTTAAGTTGCAGTGGTTACATGTGAAGAAGAGGAAACAGTAGGCACAAAGTAGGTCTCTGAGTTACCGACAGTGTTTTATTTCTTCACATATATACAGTACTAGCTACATAATTTGTGGGGCCCAGGGCAAAATGAAAATGTGGGGCTGCGTGTTCAAAAAGTTTAATGAATGTCTAAGTTGTAGAGCATCAGACCAACTAGTTTTTTTCTAAGGGCGTAGGGACATCCATGCAGCTAGCTTTGCTTCTATACAGTTGTCCCTGGGTCTCCACAGGTGAATGGTGTCAGGAGCACCTGCATATACCAAAATCCACGCAAACTCAAGTCCTGCAGTCAATCTCACACAACCTGCATATACAAAAAGTCAGCCCTCCATATACATGGGATTCACATCCAAGACCTTGGGTTGAAAAAAACAAACACATATAAGTGGACCTGCCCAGTTCAAACCTATGTTGTTCAAAGGTCAACTATACTCACTTTATAACTCACTGAGATGTACTTCATGTTTTAATCACTTTTTTTTTTTTAATTAGAGACAGAGTCTCCCTATGTCAGGCTGGAGTGCAGCGGCTGTTCACAGGCATTATCACGGTGCACTATAGCCTCAAACTCCTGGGCTTAAGCAGTACTCCTGCCTCAGCCTTCTGCATAGCTGGGACTATTGGCTTGGACCACCACACCTAGCTGTTAAACGGTTTTCTGTATGCCCACTGTATGTCACAATAAAACGTTACTTTTTAGCTGGGCACAGTGGCTTACCCCTGTAATCCCAGCACTTTAGGAGGCCAAGGCAGGTGGCCTGAGGCCAAGAGTTCGAGACCAACCTGACCGACATGGCAAAACCCCATCTCTACTAAAAATAGAATTAGCCAGGTGTGGTGGCACACTCCTGTAGTCCCAGCTACTCGGGAGGCTGTGACAGGATAATCGCTTGAATCTGAGAGGCAGAGGTTACAGTGAGCTGAGATTACGCCACTACACTCCAGCCTGGGCAACAGAAAGCAACCCTGCCAAAAAAAAAAAAAAAAGAAAAGAAAGAAAAGGTACATTTTATTATATGTATTTTATAATTAAAAACAAACCCAGTTATTGGTGTTAAGGCAGCTTTTTTTCTTTACATTTACCTCAACTTCCCTGTGTATTTGTGAATAATAGTGTCAAACTGGGCCCTTCAGAGCCCAGATTGGCCTTAACTGGCCTTGGGCACAGCTGTCTGGCCCAGGAGAGCTACTTTTACCTTAAATCCTGCTCTTTCAGTAGTTCTTAACCTTTGAGGTCACATATCCCTTTGAGTACTTGATGAAAGCTAGAGGGAACCTCTTGCTAGAAAAAAGTCAATAAACACAAAACTTGAACTTATACTGTTAAGGATTAACACCCCAGCACCACCCCCAGTGGAACTCTAGGGATCCAAAGACCCCCAAGTTAAGATCCTTTGTTCTAAAGTGACCTCCATGAGATGGCTGTCTTCTTGTCCTACTAAAATAGCAGATGTTGGCTAAAGGCCTGCTGCTTTTGTATTTTACAGACAATTGTTGCTGGGTGTATTTACTGTGATAGGGTTAAGCGCCACCAACTCTGGGGAAAGTTTAACAATCTCCATGAGCACATAGCAAAAGAATATGAGGCGGGACTCTGCATACCTAAGCCTGCTTTCTGTTCAGTCACCGCAGGTTTAACCTGCAGAAAATGAAGCCAGGGTAAGAAAGGATGAAGTTGGTTATTTGGATGACTTTAGCAAGAAAACAATAAACCATATTACCCTCTCTGCACTGAAGGGGTGGAGCTATGTAGAGGTCTTCAGTTCTAAAGTCTACCGCCACATTCCTAGCATATTATGACAAAATATCATTTACATGGTTAATCTGAGAGGGGTTTGACTTTCTCTTACTGATTCTACGCTACCTTTGGCCATTTGCTGGCAGAATGCCCACACACCACAGGAAAGCTAACCATCCCATAAAGAAAACATTATCAGTGAATATCTTTTAGTTAGCCCAAAGAGGGGAAAGACGAATGATCTGAGAGCCTCCAACAAGACCTACACAAGGATCCAGCATCCCATGCAGCGCAAGCACTGTGGCCTCCACCCTTGACTTGACTAATGTCTTGTGTGTTACCTTTTTCTGCTTTCCAGTGCAGTGGGCCTTGCATCGGGCCTCACCTAGCTGTGCAACACAGACAAGTCTTCTGCCAGACACGGGATGGCATTGCCTTACAATCAGAGCAGTGCAGCGCCCTTCCAAGGTAAGAGAAAGCCCTGGACCTCCTTTCCCCAGCCCCGTGTCAACAGCATGGAAAGATGGTGGTGAGCAAATGTTTCTCCTCCAACTTTCCACAGTCCCAAGCCCTGCCCTTCCACCTCCATTCACCCCAAGGCACTGGCCTCCCCAGAGGCAGAGGACTCAGTGTTGGTCTTGTGTTTACCTAATGGGCTAGGCTGGGCTTTTCTCTCTTAGGGATGAAGAGTGCAAAGGTGTTATTCTTCTGAGAGAGGCCTCATACCTTGAGAGACCCGCACTAGCTCCAGGGTGGTCAGGAAGTGAGGTCTACACAACGGCCACCAAGTCTCAAAGACTCCAGCCCCTCACTCTTGTTGACCTCCCTCTAGAAGTTAGGCTAGGGTGATTGTCCTTGTTCCGGAGTCTCAACCTACCATTCCTCTGCAGGCCCCATCCCTGTAACACTTCCTTATAGATGTCCCCTTGAGGAACAGGGGCTCACCACCCCACCTCCAAGCCCAGCCTCTGCCAGTCTGCACACTGGGGAGAGCTCATTCTTGAGTCATGCAGTGAGATCCATATTCATTACAGAGAAGAGCAGATGGAGGCCCAGTAGGAAGAAATAGCCTTCTTGAGATCGTATGGCCATTTACTAACAGAGATCAGAACCCAGGTCTAGTCATGCTGGAAGTACTTGAGGAATGACCTGACATTTTGGGTTTGTAGCACTGTTTACACATCTGCCCCAGATTTAGCCCCCATAGAAGTAAATCTTAACCCTGCCCCAATCCTCCTGCAGGCCCGTGAGCACCCAAAACTGCTGGTCTGAGGCCTGCAGCGTACACTGGAGGGTCAGCCTGTGGACGCTGTGCACGGCTACCTGCGGCAACTACGGCTTCCAGTCCCGGCGTGTGGAGTGTGTGCATGCCCGCACCAACAAGGCAGTGCCTGAGCACCTGTGCTCCTGGGGGCCCCGGCCCGCCAACTGGCAGCGCTGCAACATCACCCCATGTGAAAACAGTATGTTCCAACCCCAAAGAACCTTCTGCAAATCCCCCACAGGGCATCTGGTGCAGAGAGCAGCCCCTGGGACCGAGCCTCAGCGTAGGGCATGGGGTCAGTTTCTCCAGGGATTGTGAGCTGGTGGTAGAGTTGAGCATTTTCAGTGGGGTGCATGGGTGTGTGCAGAAATGTGTGTATAGGCATGGCAGGGTGTGCCCCAAGGGCTTCCACGATCTCCATCCTGGCCCTTAGAAAGCAACGTGCTTTGGCCAAGTCCTGGAGGAAATCCGCCTCCAGCTCCCCTGCTATCAGTCTGGCTGGTGCCCACAGGAATTGACTAAGCAACAACTCTCAGGGGCTAGACTACTAAACAGAAAGCACTGTTAACACTGAAGGAGCAGAGTGCCCTTCTGCTCTGTGCCCATCACAGCTTTTCATCCAACATAGACCTGCTGACCGCCTCACTCTCAGCCCCACGGGCATCCACTAGAACTTTCCAGGAGCACCCAGCCTTGGGATTTGATACTGACTTCACTCCCTCCTCCTCATCCCAGTACCGTCATTTGTATTCCAGTTGGAAAGGAGTCTATTTTTTTTTCCTTCCTCTGTACCCAAACTGGAGGTACTTACCCATCAGAAAGAAGGCATAGGAAGTAAAAACCTAATGTAGCCATGCAATTTCCTCCCAAACCGGGCCTCACTGAGAAGAAATTACCAACACTAAGGCAGATGCCATGGAGGCAAATAGCCCACTTCTTTCTCCACACTGGAGGATGGATGATGTTTGTACTCTGGGGTAGTGCTAACCCATGCTTGTGTCAGCGCCTCAGCGTGCTCAGAGAGAACCAGTATTCAACGCATTTAGTTAAGACTTACCAAACCAAGTCAGCACAGTATATAAGACCATCTAGTGTGTGCCAGTACTGAACTGGAATGACCTGGGGCTATGTTTAAGGCATGGTGGGCAGAAGGAAGAGGGAGTGGAGGGCATATCAAATTAATAAAGCTTAACAGAGGAAGTAGGTCCAAGTGCCTGGGGATGGGGGCATCCACCGGGAGCCTCGCTTACACCCTCCTGCAAGGTGGGGTGGAATGCAGTCCTGGGAACCATCTTAAGGAGGAGAGTAGTTTACTTAAAATGCCAGAACCCATGGGAAAAGGCAAGTTTGCCTAGAAGGTGAGGCGATCGCCTAGGACAGGGAGAGAACAGCCACCTTCAGGAAGTAGAGGGAGCTACAGAAAAGCAGCAGACAGCCCAGGGAGGGGCCCCATCATTCAGCCAGACTGCCACAAGCTGGTGCCACCGCCACTGCTGGCAGCCTTGGGGAGCAGGCGGCTGAGCTCTGTCAGAGTGAGGCTGGAGAAGAACGGCCCAGCCAGACCCCAGGATGTACCCTAGCGGCCAAAACACCTGGCTGCACATTGCAGTGGCGGAATTTATTAGCCTCCGTTTCACATCTCTTTTTCTGTCCCCTCTCCCTACCCTGTCCTTCTTTCCCAGTGGAGTGCAGAGACACCACCAGGTACTGTGAGAAGGTGAAACAGCTGAAACTCTGCCAACTCAGCCAGTTTAAATCTCGCTGCTGTGGAACTTGTGGCAAAGCGTGAAGACGGGACAGGGGGAAGAACTCCACCCTGGCCCCACGAAGGACTCACGCAACCACCTCGGACAGAACCTAAGCTTTCTTCATTTTATTTATTTATTTCCCCTCCCCACCCCACACACACCCTTCCAGCCTCCTCCACCCTCAAGCATGAGGACGTCCACATGTTTTCTTTCTCAATTAGCTGGAGGACAGGATGTTGGGAAAGGAGAGGACAGATGTCTAAAGGAGGTTGCAGAGCAGGCCAGGCAGACAGCGGGGGCTTCCTAGAAGAGCTTCCTCCCTCCCAAACCTGGGTCTCAGACCCAGGAAGAGGCAGAAACAGCCCCTGGGGACAGCAGGGATCCAGAGGTTTGTAGCCTGTTGATGCAAACATTGGACAAACACCTGTGTCTTTCCTAGAAGCACACTATCAGAAATGCAGGAGTGTGCTGCTCCTTTGTCTCCTCTTTCTCCATCTGTCCCTTTAGTCATGGTTAGGACAAACGAGGACGGGAAGGGGACACCACGCAGAGGCAGAAACTAGCCGAGAACTCAGTTGTTCCAGTGGTGGGGTGCAGAGAGAGGAGAACTCAAATCACCGACAGGGAGAGGTAAAAAAGGAATCAATCAGAGCAGGCCTAAGGCTCACAATGTTGCAGAAATAAATAAGGGAGGGGAGGGAAGGGACAGAAGCAAACAGGTGCGCAGGGGTGTCCAGGCTGCATGAGGCTCACAGACAGGCTCTGATCCCATGCATGCACGCATGCTCAGAGCCCTGTTGGCCACGACAGAGCACCGCGCCGCATGGGAGTCCCCACTCCCCAGGCTATCAGAGTCAACGTCCTGCCTGTGCTGCTGCAGCAAAGCCAGCGAGAGGTGCATCTGGCCGTGCAGTAAGGCCACCCTGGCACCTGTTTATCTAAATCAGGAGTCCTCCAGCCCTGCACTAACTGCGGCTGTGGGCCAGGGCCATTTTGAGCATGAATGGGCCAGGCTTTCTGCCTTCTAGGACTTTTGCTGTTCCACCAAAGGGCCAGGGACAAGGCTCAATTTGTCAGCATCAACCCATTAACTAATCACTTTGCCAGAGAGTATCTGCCAGGCTTTCAGGTTGTAGCAGGCTCTTCATTCCACAGCTGGCCAGGGGCCGGGGTGGGATGGTGAGTTTATGAATGCCTGCGATACACCCTCCCTCTCCCATCTACCACCCTGGGGTCTGCAGGCCCTCTCACAGCACAGTGAGACCTGCTGCATGTAGTATTTATCTAGCAAGGCAGGGCGGGGGAGGCAGCACCCTGGCAAAGCAGCTCATACACTGCAGCCACACTCATCAGCTGTGGCGAGGCAGCTGGAGCAAAGTCAAGCAGCAAAATGAACACTCTGGGACTCCTTGGCAAAATGCTCATTAAGCTGAGCAGCTTTGGCCAAGTAATTTTTGCCTCTTTCCCCACTAGTGGCCTCAGTTTAGGACCAAGGGTGGCCAGAGTCACTTACCCTCAGATAAGCCTCCCCATGAAATGCCATTCACCCCAGGGCTTGACATTAGGGCTGCATTTTCCAGCCAGCCTGGAAGTAAAATTTGAGGGGAAGACAGTATTAATCTGTGTCCCCCCCACCCCAGAGAGCTGTGGACAGTTAAGTTGGGTCTCTTGCTTCCTCACCACAAAAATAGGCTCTAAGAAATCATATTACTAAAAATCAGTGTAATGTCTGTTTAAAATAAAAGAGAATGTTTTCTATGTCTGTATATCTTTTGTGAATATTAGGAGTTCTTGTATTAAAAAGTGTAATATTAATAATTGTACATTGTCATCCAGAGAACTCTTGGGGGGACTTTATTAACTTTCTGCGGTTGTGTTCCTGTAAACTTGGTAGTGATTATTATATTTTTTCCTATTTTTTAATAGAACCTGTTGTTTAACTCTGGATCCATTCACTGTGTACAGGATATGTTGTAAAAACTACTATGGGATTCTGTGGCAGTAAGAGGGGATTCATTTGTGGCACAATAGTTCATGGAATGATGAAGACAAATTCCACACTACTACTAACGTGGTTATTTCTAGTTCAATAGCGACTGAAAATCAGTGGTCACTATTTACATTTCCTACCAGCAAGCAGCCTCCAGCTCCGTGTTGGGTTGGAGCAGTTGGTAGTGGGTCTCAGTGAGCTGGCAGAGCCTAGGTTTGGGTGGGAGGCAGAGTGCTCCTTGCATGAGATGAATGTACATTTAATGTTTGTTCTGTGAATTACAACTCAGCAGCAGCACAAGACTATGAAGGCTGCTGGCTAATGTGGAAGGAGGCACTTTCTCCTCTAAAACACAAAACTGTATTTATATTTTTTGTACAGATAATACAGCTTATTTATTTAAATCTTCTCGTCTGAGTCTCTCTTAAACTCAGCCTTCCCCTGGTGGTTGATGCAGGGAGTGAGAGAAGTCCCTGTCAGTTGGATGGTTCCCAGCAAGTTATTTGTGTCTGGCTGAAGTGTAAGGATTGCAGTTTTCACCTTCACACGAGAAGCTGGGGGCCCATGCCTGGAAGCGCTAGCTGTATAAATAAACCCAAAGAAGCTGTGTGTGTAGACATGCACACGTTCAGGCTGAGGGCAGCGGAAGAGATGAGAGTCATCTCATTGACAGCCCTTTGTGGTGGGACGATGGGAGCCACAGTACCTTCAGGAAGTGAAGCAAACAGGGGCATCTCTTGGGAGAGGTGCACACTTGCGTGTGGAATTTTCCTCATTCATCAGGCTTCCTGCCCACAGAGACATGCACAGTATGAGGCAGCTGCACGGTGAAAGTTTGGATGTATTAATAAAGACTTACACTTACAGATCAAGGCTACATTGAATCCTCACATCAACCCTCTGATTATCTCCATTTACATATGGGAAAATAGCAGTGCAAAGAAGCCCAAGGTCACACAGCTTGTGGAACTAGGATTCAAAGTCAGGCAGTCCTACTCTAGCCGAAGACTGGACTTGACCCACCGTGCTGCCTCCTGCCCAGCTGCCTGCAACTGCCGTGCCATGGCCACCTTAGGCATGCACGCCCCTCTCCCCTACTGCTTTCTGGTTGGTCGGTGATAATAACAGGACATTTTACTGAAATGGTCGCTTTCTCCTGCCCTAAAGGCAGTTCTTTTACCATGATAGCACTTCTAGATCCCTATTTTTAAAGCATTTTAATAAAAACAGCTACCATAGTGCGGAGGGTGAAGGGGAGAAGCACACCTGTAGAGCTCTCCACAAACAGGCCCTAGTGAAAGGGCAGCATGTCGCCAGGCATAGAAGATGTCCACACAGGGACCACAGTGAGAGATGCTCCAGAGGACCCATGGCCTGAACGCCAAACTCCAGCTGGTTTTCCAGCAGCTCGACACAGCACATCACAGTCCTGTTGAACAGTGTGAAAATACACCAGAAAGCTCTTCTTGAAATTTCCGTTATTTTTTTAAGTTTTAGGTTTTGCTTTAAAAAAAAAAAAAAAAGCCAATGCTAGAACTATAAATATTCACATACCAGCAACCAAACAATGTCCTACAGAGGCCCCATGGCAGGAGGAAGGAGCTGGAAATACCAGAGCAAAAACCCAGTAAAGCTGAAATGGTGGGAAGGGCTCAAATGCAACGTATGGAAATTTTTCCAGCCAAAAACATAGAGTCTTTGCTTAGCCTCAAAGGTTTCCAGGAAATCCCTAGTCCCATTAAGATCAGGGTGGTCAACAGTCACTGAAGCTCATTCATGCCTCAGTTTCTTCATCCAAGAGCATATCTCATCGGGTAGGGCTGTGCGAAAACAATTAGTTAATTCATGTTGAATCGCTTGAACCCAGGAGACAGAGGTTACGGTAAGCCAAGATCATGCCACTACACTCCAGCCTGGGCAACACAGCAAGCCCCTATCTCAAAAAAAAAAAAAAAGTTATGTTTTATATACATGAGCTTATAAAAAAAAAAAAAAAAAAAAAGAAAAAAGGATAAAAAAGGGGGCAGGGGGTATGTGACACATCATGGAAGCACTTACTCAGTGTTAATTGCTATTATCGTCAGCATCATCTAAGTTACCGTGGAAGAAACAGGGAGATGAAGGGCAGGGCTGGCAGAATTTTTGCTATTTTACATCATTTCCCATTGTCAGCTTTGAAAGACTCCCCAGTGTTCCCATTTTTACTTAAGAAGGAAATCAACGGCTCCTCCAAAGCTCAATGCTACACAATAGCCAGGTGCAGTAGCTCACACCTATAATCTCAGGATTTTGGAAGACCACGGTAGGAAGATCTCTTGAGGAGTCTGAGACTAGCCTGGACACGGCGAGACCATGTCTCTACAAAAAAAATTTTAATTACCTGGCATGGTAGCTCACACCCATTGTCCCCAGCTTCTTAAGAGCCCTGAAGCTTGAGGCTACAGTGAGCTGTGGCCAGGCTACTGCACTGCAGCCTGGGTGACAGAGTTAGACCCTATCTCAAAAAAATAAACACAAAACTACACAATAGTATAAACAAGAAAGACATCAATGAACCAAGTTCTATGTCTTGGAAGAAAAGCTATCAGTCGATGTATCCAACTCAAAAGACTCACCAAAAAACTAACAAAATTCCAGAAATACTACTTCCAGGACAAATGTTGTAATGCCAATGTACTGCCTAGTCTCAACTCAAAGTACCCAAATGTACATATAACTACCATTTCCTTCAAGTAACTGAAAATCATGGAGAGATATTTATTCATGAGCAAATATACAAGTAAAAGCTAAAATTAAGGATATTTCACTTGTAAGTGGTTGAGTTTCTCATAAATAACATGCAGTTATCCCCTCACTTCATCCTACAAATAAACCCAAAGAAATAGTCCACCTTTTTTAATGGTTTTCAGCTAAAATGAGACAAGTTAGATCTCAATAATCTGTTAGCGGGTTCCCAAAAGAAGTCAAAGCCATCTACAAAGGGTCAGGAAATGGTGGTGTAGAGAAAAAGATGGAGAATTGGGAAGAAACCTAGTGAAAACTGACCTGTGAAGTGCATTAACCCAGGGAAGGATAAATCAGGAAACAAAATCACACATAACTCCCCTTTGGTCTTATCTCTCCGTGTTCCTCCTTTTGTTCAGTAAACCAACTCAAACTTAAAGACTTCAGGATTCAGACTCAGTCTGCACTGAATGTGAATTAAATCAGAGAAGGTTATCTACCCATATCATATACTGCCAACTGGGACAATATTGGCATTGATTGATTTAAGGCCTTGAAGTAAAGACTTGAATACCCAATGAATTCAACAATCCTCCAAGTTTAACCTCAAATGAATGTCTGCTCCCCACCCACCCAGTTCACTTGGAGATGCTTTTACAAATCAAATGTGTATGAGCTTGTCAGAGACTATTCTCTTTGGCTGAACCTCAGCCTATTCATAGCACCCCAAGATTTTCAACTGCTTTGTTGCCATCCCAAAACTGAAAGGCAGATATTAGTAATTAAGCCTTTGCTAAAACAACTGGGCTACCGCCTTTTCAACTTGAGTTTTACAACTTCACTCAGATTCTGTGAAACACCTGGTCCCAACCAACCACGTGTCACGCCTCTGATAACACAATATACAGATGTCGCTCACCTCTGTGTTTTCAAAAGGCAAAATCCATCTCCAACTCAGGATTTCCCAGGCTGCCCCTAAAAATATGGTTTATGTGTGTATAAACAGAAATTAAATGTGAGGTTTTATGTGAGTGAGGAAAAAGCAGACAGTCAGGAATGGTTCTCCTGCCGAACGTAAATAATGTTTGTTTAAGCAGAATGCCTAGGAGAGCCTGGGAGATTGCATGGTCAGCATTCAGACCAGAAAACATGCCTGCGAAGTCTGCCTCCCCCTCCAGGTCTTCATGATGGCCAGGGTGGACTTTGTTGTAAATCCTGTGAAACATACCAGACAAGCTGTGAACAACTTAGTTACCAGGTGAGCAAGTTGAGGAAACATCTAACGGTGAAGGCCAGGAGTGTTGTGATAAAAGTGTGTCATGGGCTTTGTTTTCTTTCCCTAAGCCCCCATCATCATTTTTTAAATAATAGTGGAAGGGCCAGGAAATGGTTTGCCTGAGGCTAATGAACAATGGCAAAATTGTTTTTCAGTCACCCACCTACAGACAATCCCTGCATTACAATGATTTGACTTACAGTTTCTCAACTTTACACAATGGTGCAAAAACAATACACATTCACTACACTTCTTCACTGACAATGAGCTATGTCCAGATAAACTCGTCAGAAATCTAAAATACTGTAAATCAGAAATACACTTTTGATTTCTGATATTTTTTACTTATAATGGGTTTATCAGACATAACTTGATTGTTGAGGAACATCTGGGTTCTGTCTCATGGCTAGAGGCCAGCATATGTCAGTGCGGGAGCACAGGGCAAGTGCCAGCCATGGACTCCTGAGCTGAGTTTCTTCAGCCCGAACAGACCCCTCCCTGCTTGAATGAAGAGATTCAAGGTAACCCCCTAAAAGCAGGCCCCCATAACCTGAATCTTCTGCACCCTTTGCATGGTGAGGATTTGCCTTCGTACTTGGCAAAGTACGAAGCTGGGATGGAAAACAACCAAAGACCTCATCTAACCCTGGTGGTCCTCGCTCGACCCTTCCCTTACCAGATGAGCCCCCATCCCTTCTCATCTCATCTCGTTCTTTCTCATTTCTTTTTCCATCACTTATCTTTCCTTTTCCTCAGAGTTTAACACACTTTGCTAAGCACCAACTCTGGGCTCCAAGGACACAGGGGTGAGAGCCTAGTCCCTGCTTTAAGGGAGCTCACAGTCTAACTGGGAAGCAGACACATCCCACAGCAAATGATAATGTTTCCTACCACAGTTATGAAGTCCAAGTTCTGGGGAATCTCCAGCTCTTCTCCCTCATTTGGCTCCTTCCAGAGTCACACTCAGTGATTGCTCTCTTTAGTCCTAATCCTCTCTCACTGGGGCATTTGCAAAAGTCTCCTAACTGGATTCTTTAAATCTACTCTGGTCTCTTCCAATCCACGTTCCACACAATAGCTAAAACTATTGTTATATTGCCTGTAAAACTTCATTTCTGCCTGCATTTCATTATTTATCCGGTCATCATTCAGGAGCAGGTTGTAGTTGTGTGGTTTTGAGTGCATTTCTTAATCCTGAATTATAATTTGATCACACTGTGATCTAAGAGACTGTTTGTTATGATTTCCATTCTATTGCATTTGTGGAGGAGTGATTTACTTCTAAGTATTTGGTTCAATTTTAGAGTAGGTGCGATGTGGTGCTGAGAAGAATGTATATTCTGTGGATTTAGGGTGGAGATTTCTGTAGATGTCTATTAGGTCTGCTTGGTCCAGATCTGAGTTCAAG